TATTATCATCATCATCATCATCATCATCATCATCATCATCATCATCATCATCATCATCATCATCATTATTATTTTCCAGCATATGCTACAATAGGTTGGCCTTTGCCTGAGTTTGGGGTGCCACCTGGGTTTTGTTGTCCCTCTTGCTTGCAAGCCTCAGTTGCAGGCAGCTTTTATTTCAAAATTCAGAGGATCGTTTCAAAACAACAACCCCTACAAAAAACTGGTTGCTGTGCTGTGTTGTTTTCAAATGTGTGTTTCCATGTTTATTTTTATCAGCCACTTAAAATATATAATACACCTTTCATCCTTTTAAAAATCTTTGTATATGTGCTGTTTTTAGCTGTTAAATATTGTCTTTTAGCGGGTTAAGCTGACTCAGGATCCTTTTTAAGGGCAAGAAATGTTTTAAATAAATAAATGAGCATCAGCATAACTTCCGATCTCAGTTATCTCATGACTCTTCCCGAAGCACTGGGATCATCCTTAAAACTGATTCCTGCTCTTCTACAGTATAAGCTAAAACTAATTGCATTTTAATTAGCATGTAGATTAATTGCTTTTTCATCTTTAAGCTTACTGTGTTTTTAATTCTATTCCTTTTGTTATAGAGAGTGGCCTCGAGTACCTTTATGGGGAGAAAGGTAGCATTTAAATAAAATGAAATAAAATACTTTAATAAATAATAAGACTAGCATCCATATTTATGTTAATATTACTGGTAATTCCATCTGCAGCCTTCCTGGAAGTAAATGTCTTTAAATGCAGTGGGATTTTACTCCCTTCCATGCAAGCTCACATTAAAAATACAAATGTTTATCTTAAAGGCATGTTTAATGGTTATTTTGCTTCTATCTATAAATGTTAATAATCCAAGCAATCAATTAAAGTTATTATTTGCTTATTTAAATACTTTTACCCCACCTTTTGTCTCAAGAGGAACTGAGATGGTTTAGAAGATTAGAGGCAAATGAGAAATCTTGACACGTGATATAAAATTATAATATTGGTCGATTGATTTCAGACATTTATACTCTTTGATTTTTCCTCAGGGTGGCCTACAATATTAAAACAAACAACACTAAAAATATAAATTATTGCATTATTTTTTAAAAAAATAGACACCGAATTATAATTTTAAAAATTATAAATCCTTCAGCTAGTTTTTGCCTTCTCTTGGCTTTATCTGTTTCTTAACATGTATTTTCATACAATAAGTTGAACTTTCTTTCCTTTTAAAGAAAAGAAAGCCGGGTGTTTACTTTTAAAACAAACCCACTCATTAAGTACACTTTTTAAATTACATTCTGTATATTTTAACCACATAATACGTTTTATGAACTGATTGTACATTTTAAACTGCATTTTGTATATTTTAGCCACATAATATGTTTTATGAATTGGTTGCATGATTTTAAACTGCATTTTGTATATTTTAGCCATAAATATGTCTTATGAGCTGGTCACCTGGCCGTCATAAATAAATTCATTTACTAATTAAGTGCAGGGAGAGGTTAATGGAGGGACGAAGCACAGCTTGAAAAGTAAAGATCTTGGAAGGTCAGAGAGCACAGGGAAAACAGTATTACTTTAGTTTAGTGCCATTTCCTAAGCAAAATAAAACCCAGTAGAAGCCCGTTATCTGCGGAATCAGTATCCACTGATTCACTTATCCCGTCTGAAAATTAACAAGAACCCAGAAACGTATAATTATATATATTCCCAGGGTGCGTCTACCAGAAGTGGCCTCGGAGTCAACAGAAGTGTACAGCGCTCGCTGTTTCCGCGTTGTTCGGCATCCGCGGGAGGAGGCTGAGAACCAATTTCCCCCCTTTTTCCCGCGGATACCAGCCCAGTCCCGGAGCCACGCCGGATCGACCCCGGGGCTGGTCGCTTTACCTTGATCTCGGAAGACGCGGATGATGTTCCCGGGCACCTGGAACTCCTCCACCCAGCAGGGCTCCGGACCCGGGGCGCTCCCCCGGCGGAAGAGCCTCCAGAGCAGCGGAGGCACCGGGGCGGGGGAGGCCGATTTGGGGCTGGGTCTAGGGCTGAGCCCCATCGCTTGCAGGAGCCGCGTCTCCGGGCCGGGCTGGTGGTCCGGCGTTCCGGCCAGGGAAGCCCCAGAAGCCAGCTGGAGGGCCACCAGGAGACTCAACAGGGCCATGGGGCTTTTTTGGGGGGGGGCGCAGAAAATGAGACCCTCTTTTGGGGGGAAAGGGTCAAAAGGTCCCGGCTAGACCCTGGTTTTGGCCAAGGGAAGGAGCGCAAAAAAATCTATGGAGATTCCCGCAGGCAGAAACAGCTGGAACAGCTGGCGGGCGGAAGGATGCTCCACCGGCCCCCGGGAAGAAGACGCGGGAGGGGGAGGCTTTATTTAGGGGAAAGACCCCCTTTGATCTTGGGGAGGGGTCCTGCCAGGAGGATGATGGGTAAGGACTGACCCACCCCCCAACCCTTCGGGGCCCAGAGGCCTGGGAGTCCAAGGGACCGCTAGCAGACTTTCAGAAGACTTTGAAGAAAAGGGGAGGGCATTTTCCTGAAACCTCACCCTCCCCACCCCGTGAGAACGTGGGAGAGGATGATGAATGTGGATTAGACGCAGACTACATGACACCCCCATCACCAGAGGAATGAATCGCACTCAGAGGTGCTCATGGGAAATGCTTTGCACCTTCCCCGGGGGTGGGATGCTTGGAACTGATAGGGAGAAGCAACAAAATAAATAAATTAAAATGAAATAAAAGTTTAAAAAGAGAGACAGAAACGTGGGGGCACTTTAGAATCTAATTTCTACATTTTTAAGAATGAGATTTTTTGGGGGTGGGGGTAGGAAAGCCTGCTTATTATTACAACTCACTGTTCTCCTCTGAGTCAAAACTTAGGGAGCTGGTATGCAGGACATTGTACAGATTTTTTAAAAATGTCTCAAAAGAGAAAGAGAGGTGTGTGTGTGTGTGTGTGTCAGATTTTTAAAAAATGTCTCAAAAGAGAAAGAGAGAGGGGTGTGTGTGTGTGCGTGTGTGTGCGCGCGCGCGCGTGTGTGTGTGTGTGTGTGTGTGTGTGTTATAAACTCCTAATACTAAACAGTATTAGGAGAAATGGCAGTAGAATAGGGTGACATAACACAAGATGGATGGACTTCATAAAGGAAACCACAACTTTTGAGTTGGAAAAAATGTCTCAAAAGAGAAAGAGAGAGGGGTGTGTGTGTGTGCGTGTGTGTGCGCGCGCGCGCGTGTGTGTGTGTGTGTGTGTGTGTGTGTTATAAACTCCTAATACTAAACAGTATTAGGAGAAATGGCAGTAGAATAGGGTGACATAACACAAGATGGATGGACTTCATAAAGGAAACCACAACTTTTGAGTTGGCATAGAATAGGGTGACATAACACAAGATGGACGGACTCCATAAAGGAAACCACAACTTTTGAGTTGGCATTTGTTCAGCAGGGCTATTAAGGATGGGAATTTTTGGCAGTCCTTAATTCATGGGGTTGTGAGGAGTCAGGAGGGACTTGATAGCACATAGGGGAAAAAACATTTCCATCATATATATAATTAATTATCCTGATCTAAACAAACCATTAGGTTGTGGTGAAAAATATGGCATCTGGTTTACAAGTCATGTTCTACACAACTTATTTCTATTTTTACATTTATGCAATTCCCTTATATACTTAAAAAAATAGGCTGGCCTTTCTCTCAAAAAGGGGACTCAAGACAGCTACTTAACACTTTTATCAAATTTCTTTATGTGCAAAAAACGCTTTCTGCCTTTTTAAGAAGCTGCAAAAGACCTCCAATTAAAAGGGTATGACTATAATTTAATCAGCATTATTTTAATCAGGAGGAGGCTTCATCCAGCCGAAGAGATAACCAAAACCCTCTGATCTTGTTCCCTTTGATGTGCAGAGTCCTTAAAAAAAAGATAAATACAGCCATTTGGGTCAAATTTGAAAGAAACTGAAAGGGGAGGTTTCAAGGCCTTCTCCATTCCTAAAATAAAGTTAAATAATTGATCTCTAAAATAAAATAAAGAACTAAAATATAAGAATAAAATACTTGTCTCTAAAATAAAAAGGATAAAACAACAAATTGATCTCTAATTAAAATAAGAATAAAATACTTTTTCTCTCTAAAATGAAATAAAATAAAATCATACTTTCCCCCTAAAATAATCATAAAATGATACTTTTGTCTCTAAAAGGACAAAATAAAATGATACTTTTGTCTCTAAAAGGACAAAATAAAATGATACTTTTGTCTCTAAAAGAATAAAATGATACTTTTGTCTTTAAAATAGCAGGGGCAAGTAAAAGAATAAAATACTTTTGTCTCTAAAATAACATGATAAAACAGAAATAAAACCATGTGTTTGTCTCTCAAATAAAACGAGAGCATAAATTAACAGCAAAAGAATGCTTTTCTCTCTAAAATCAAATGTTTCATTTGGGAAGGTGGTTCGATTCAAAAGGGACCGCCTGCTGCAAATCAGCAGAATAGTTAAAAGGAGCAGCTGGCTTTTTTCCCCCCACGTAGGATTTCCAGTGAAAAGTAGCAGCAAACGGTAGGAATTTGACGCTCCAGCAGGAGCTGTGAAAATCCGAGTTCAGGTCACATCAACCGCAGATGCAGGGCTTCGAAAGGTAACCTTTCTTGGGGATTACATACAAATCTAATTACTTCTGTAGTTTTTGTTCGTTTTTCATTATCTTCTGGAATGCTTGTCTGAAATCTGAGTGTTTGGCTTTTATTGCACACCCACCCCATTCTGTGTCACAATTAGCTGTTAGGAATTATATTTTATATCCCACTTCCCCTCTAATAAGTGTGGGGAAATCCCTGCCCGCCCTTCCTATTGCTAAGAGTCTGAATCCCATCTGGCACAGCCATCACAGGCCAGAGATAAGTTTCACACCGTGGATAAAGTGAACCAGTGGATACCGATCCCACAGATTAGGGGATCCGAGGAACCAGGGAGAACTTTCGAAGACCTTACAGGAGCCAACAAAGAGGGGCAGGGATCGGGGGAGACCCATGTGAATTTGAACCTTTATCACCCCTGTTCCTTATGTGTGTTCTTGATGGCAAGACACCCCCCTCAGAAGGTCGGTGCGGGGCAACCCAAGGGTTGTGAAGGGATCTTACTGTGATGGGACAACTTACTGAGCAGGTTACCTTGAGAGGACTCCGTCTCCAACAGGGGTGCTCACCCGGCACATCAATGGGGTTCTGCTGGCCCTGGAGTTGTAGCCCCAGGTAGGAACGAGCCTGTCGCCACTTCCCCTTAACCCAGAAACTTCAAAGGTGAAAGGCAATGGGAGGTGGGTCTTTTGTAAGGCCACCGGCTCTTAAGGAAGAATCAGTCCAACCCAATTTAACTCCACAAGAGGGAATAATGATATAAAACACCCATTTCCCTCCCAGCATCAAAATGCACCCTGTTTGTGGCTTATTCTAAGGTGGAGGATTATTATTATTTATTATTTAAATGCATTTAAGGTATTTTTACCCTGCCTTTCCAGAGGCATGCTTGTCCACTCCCCCCTCCAAAAAAACTAGAAACAGCCCCACAGAGGAAAATAAAAGTGGTGTTAAAACGGTGAAACTCCCCCATTTGCACCACAGTCGTGCAAACACCATCCGTGCAACAGATGGGAACAGGGAACCCTCATGTGTATAGGCGTTGAACTCTTTAATCCGAGTTTAAAGCAGAACATTTTTCTTTGAAGAGAAAAATCATTTTTTAAAAAATGCCAGTTTCCAAGAAACCCAGCTTTAAAAAAAATCCCCTTGTTGCCAGTGTATTTAGGGCGATTCTGTGCAATTAAATCTGCAACCATTTTTACCCAACTCAGCCCATTTTTGCCTAGGTTACACAAAACAAGAGTCACTATGAAGAAGGGCGAGAGGTTAACTCACATTACAGAAGGACTCCTTTATCCACAAACTCGCCGTGGGCTGATTCGCCTATCCATGGCCTGAAAATATTAAAACATTACCCTATAAATAACTATTTCTAAAGATGATACTACAAGATCAGGCCACTAAAAAGAGGCAGAGACCACGTTATGTACAGCATTCGCTATTAAAAGTGTTCTCTGTCATCCACATTTTTCAGCATCTGCGGGAAGGGGGGCTTAGAACTGATCCCTGTGGATACTGGGGTCCCCTACTGTAATTCATCTTTTGAACTCAGATTTCTAACCAGGACGGCACCAGGATCTCACCCAGACGCACTCCGGAGTCCTCCACCATATGGCTCTTCAACCAGCCCAAATCCCAGTTCTCCCCCAGGCGACGGATAACAAATCTGGGGAAAAACATGGGATCCTCCTGTCTAGACAATTCTCCTTCCTCCCCTTGATCTTTTCTTGTCCTTAATCCTCTTCTCCTGCCTAAGGCTATACATTCCTGACTCAAGTATTCCTCTGGTCTTCCCTTCCTTCCCAAATCCAGGGTGGGGGGCACTTAAAACCCATCTCTGCACTCCTCAAAATGTAAAAAAAAAGCCAGAGCAGAAGACTCATCGGCATCACAAATGTCTTTTCTTCCCCCACCCCCCAAAAAAACTAGGAGGGTGGGTTTGATTTTCCCCTAAATCTCTGGATGGTTGATGGTTTCCATCTGCTGTTTTCCAATTCTCTCTGGCTCCCAACTGGCCAGAAGCTGTCGAAAGCAGGCTTATGGGATTCGGAGTCCCTGATGGGCCCCAGGGTGTGTGCGTGTCTAGGAGCCGTCTGATCTTTTCCCCCTCCCTGCCTTGGAGAGACAAAGTTGGCCCTTAAGATGGGAGAGGATGAGGTACCCACCCCATAGAAAACCTCTTCCTGTTGTCAAGGGTCTTGGGGGGCGGATACACTCAAGGGGGGGTCCCTGCCCCATAGCCCAGGGACCGAGACCCGGTCCAAGCAGGTCATCCACAGCTGAGCCACGCAAGTCTTAGCCTGGGGTGTGTGTGTGTTTGAGTCCTGTGTTCAAATCCCCATTTGGCTGCAGAAAAACCTCACTGGGGGGGTGACCAACCTCGCAGGGTGGTGGGGAAAAGACTAGAAAATTTAAGGAGCCCGCATTTCGCTGTTGCATCATCACACCCATTTATACACCCCACATCAATACAAATGCATCCACTAGAAAAATCAAATCAATCTACGTTCTTCCTTTATTCAGGGGTTGAGGGTCTCTCTGGCTGCGGAGCCCGAGGTTGGGAGTTCGAATCCCCCACAGGGCCTCCGGGACAGGGGCTGGATTGGATGATCCTTCGGGGTCCCTTCCAGCTCTGCCGTTCTAAGATTATAATTATTATTTATAGGTCAGGGCTCACCACAGCCCTATAAGGTAGTCCTTTGTAAGCAGCTTTGACTTCAGCAGGGTTTTTCACCCCCATCCAACAGGTCAGTTTTTGAGACATGATGCTTTAAATGGACCGCCGGGGAGCTTCAACCCCTGCGGGTCTCAAACCTGGGGCCCTAAAATCCTTTCGGACTACGACTCCCAGAGGTCCAGCTGAGTTTAGCCAACGATCAAGGCGTCTGGGGGTCGTAGTCCATGACCCTCTAGGGCCCTTGGTTGAGTTCCAGAGGCAAAAGTGATTCATTTAATTAAAATATTTTCCCGCGCCTTTCTCCTTAAAATCCTTCTTTAAAAATCCCACCTCTTGTCTCTCTCTGTGCTAAATTACAGAGCAGCCCTGGCAGGCCCACTGCCCCTCAAGCTGGAGGCTCTACTCCCCTTCGATCAGCTGCAACAGTCCTCGGTTCGGGGAAGGGGAGGGAGAAAGATGATGCTGGCCAAACAGCAAACTCGAACACAGCTCTTCCAATGTCTTTCTGCTCCCCAGCGACGTCATCACAAAAGGGCTTGCATTTAATCATCCGACCCCGCTTCGCCTTGCCCGCCCCGGCTAAAGACCAACCCCCGGAAAATAATTTTTAAAGGGATCGTGATCAAAGTCCGTTCTGGGACGCTCGTCTTCGGCCCCAACTGGAAAGGACGAAGATTCATCCGTCCGCATGAGTGCTTTAATTTGCCGCCGCCTCCCGTCATTGGCCGCTGGCTGCTTCCGTCAAGAGGCTTCTTCTCCGCCTTCACCAATCACGGCTCTGGAGCGGAGAGGGAGGCACCAGGAAGGGGCTCCGCCCATGGGGCCACCCCGAAGAAGGCTCTGCCAGGCAGAGCCACTCCCCGCGAGGCCGCCGTCGAAGAAGAGGGGTCGCTTCCCTCTGGAATGCTGCCCATCCGGCCGCGCCGTGCCAACCTGTCTGGGGGGGCGGGCATGTCCGTCGGGGGGCTCCCGTTGGCGTCAAAGGAAGGCCCCCCGGCACAAGAACCCTAACGAATTGCCTTCCCTCGCTGGCTCTGGAACTCAGCACCAAGATGGGAGTCGGTGGGAGGCTCTTGAAGCAGGCTGGGGGTGCGTGGGGGTGCTGAATGAAGTTGTATGTGTGTGTTTGCGGGGAGGGGAGGCTCACAGCATCGCTCAGTCACAGTCCACCAGGCGCCCCTTCATAAGCGCTTGTCCTTCACGAGCCCGTTCTTCAGATGTTTCCTGCAATGGAGAGATAGAGGTCAGCCTCGGAGGATGGGACAGGGTTTGTGCATGCGCACCTCACAAATCCTCCATGAAAAACACCCCCATGCACCACCATCATCCCTCTCAAGACCATTCTGTTCATTAAACGCTTAAGACGCTTTCTCTTCCTAAGTGCCTGCTTTCTCCACTACTTCACAATCGTCTCCACTAGAGAACAGCAGAGCTTGGACAGGATTCCCAGGGAATCCACTTCCTGCAACTCGCCTTTCATCTTCTGCCTGACATGCAAAGAGCTCTCCGAGAACGATGTAGAGCCCCCGTGTTAAGAGGCAGTCTATCCTGCGGCGCCCTTTCCCCCCTGGCTGGCATAATTACCCCTCCTTCAAGGAGCTGGGGAGGCGAAGCTCGCCATCTTTCGTCCTGGAGGCCACATCGACATCGTATTCCCGCACGTCATTCAGCTCCTGGACTTGCCCCATGAAGACCTTGGTCACAAAGAAGACGATGTACTGCGGACGGGAGAAGAGAAGCAAGGGCCAATCAGCTTGCTGGGGCGAGGGATATTCCCAGAATGCTTTGCACCTCCTCTCCCCCAAGCCATTTAACAGAGAATCTAGTGCGTTCTGTCCCAGATGACTTAGCTAGTAAGCAACGTGGGGGAAAGGGTGTATGGAGAGTGTTTGTTGCTCTCTCTCGCTCTCTCTCTCTCTCTCTCTCTGTGTGTGTGTGTGTGTAAGAGAGAGAGAGAGAGAGAGAGAGAGAGAGAGAGAGAGAGAGAGGGCCAACAAATCCTAGAGCCTGCCTGGCTGCAAAATACAGTCGGACCCTCCACAACCGCGGGGGATCGGTGTGAAGTCTCCCCATGGATGCTAAAAAACATGGATACTATTGAACCCTATGTGAATAGCCAACGCAACAGACAGCGTGGTCTCTGGCGCCCTCTAGATGCCACTTCTGGTAACTTCAAATTCAGAAATACATCTATTTCTGGCATTTTTCTTTTAAGGTTTCTCAGTCCACAGGAAAGCGAATCAGCGGATCCCAATCCCGCGGATACAGCCCTAATCCTTCCGTGGAAAGGACAGTGGCTCAGAGTGTCAACACGACACGCAAAGATGCGACAAAAAAACTTGGGAAGCGTGCGTCAATGCTGAACGTCGGCGGATTTAGGCCGAAGAAGCACGCAGAAGACCTGATCTGACACCAGCCGCGACTCACCAGGAACCAATAGATATTCAGGAGGGTGAGCATCAGCAGCAAAGCGTTGAAGAAAAAGTAGAACGGGATGCCAGGGACAGTCTGGAGGCTGGTGTGGCAGGTGGCGTAAAGCACCTTCAAGGGAAACCAGTACAGGCGGAACCAGAACCTGGGGGGAGAAAGAAAAGGGAGTGTTGGGAAGGGTCCTGTGCTGAATGCAAGAAGTTGGATGGGGACCCACAAGGCCATCCAGTCCCACCCCCTGCTCACGTGCTGAATGCGAGAAGCACGGAGTTGGACGGGGACCCACAAGGCCATCCAGGCCCACCCCCTGCTCAAGGCAGGGACCCAAACCTAAGCAGATCAGATCGACGGGAATCCCGTTTTCTCCAGAGCTGGAGTGCTCATCACCCCCTCCTGAGGTCTTGGGTCCTGTCGTCGTATGGCCCTAACCATTAAGAAGGTTTTCTTGATATTCGGCCAAAATCTGGCTTCCTGTCGCTTGAGCTCTTGTCCTGCTCTCCGAGAGGATGGAGGGACGGATCCTGCCCCTGCTGAGGCCTAACCCATGCCGAACCAAAGGGGATGAATCCCTGGTGGGATTTCAAGACTAGATTTCGCGCACGCCCCCCTGATGCCCTCCTCTGTCAGGAAGCTGGCGCTCCTCACCAGCTGATGCAGAAGGTGACGCAGCCGATGTTTGAGATGATGTCGTTGAGCCGGTGGTAAGTCCCGCCACGGTACTTGAAGTAGACATTGAGTTTGGTGAACTCCAGTTGGATGTCGCTGATGTCATGGAGGAAGAGGACCAGAATCCCAACATTGTGATACCTGGGGGGGCAGGGAGGAGAGAATCAGGTGAAGCAGGCACGGGGGGGAGGGGAACCCCCCAAAAACGAGTTGAACCCCAGCAATGTCTGTTAAAAAAACCCACACACTTCTCTTCGGCTTCCCGTTTGAACCTTTAGAACCATGAAGACTAGAAACTTGTGTCCCCCTGTTCAGGTATAAGGCCCTCATTTAACCTGCAGTCGCTTCTAAGTTTGAACCTCAGCTTTCCTATTTTTGGAAAAACAGAGGATCACAGGGAAAGAAAGATTCCATGATTCTTTGAACCGTGAGATATACAGTTCGTCACAACAGACAAAGGATCCCACTAACACAACTGATTGTGTTTCCATTTAAATTTGAAAACCACGAGGGCCGGAAAGTTGCCATGGTACGGCAGAGTGTTGGGGTGGGGTTTGAGGGTTGGCATCCTCCGTTCGGAAAGGATCCAATAACGGAGAAGCCGCTTCTCCTGGGTGAGAACTCGAGAGAGCACGGGGGAAGGAGTTTTCCAGGTTTCCCGGACTACATATCCCAGAATTCTCCCTTCTCGGGGTTCTCTGTGTCGCTCGCCTGGGCAAAAGGCCTGAATCAAAAGGCCTAGCTAGGGATGTTCAGTGGGGGCAGAACCCAACCCACGCCACCTCAGAGAACGCTGGAAAGCGGGATCAGGAGGCGAATGCCGTGGTGGGGTGACCGGGGTCAATGTATACCTGAAAATGTAAGAGGCGACAATCAGCATCAGGGTGACCACGTGGTGGATGAGCATGACGACCGAGTCCTTGCGCCAGGCGTCCATGTAGAGCGTGGCATAAAGGGCATGGCCGTAAAAGCTGGCCTGCATCAGGTAGGCAACCGCAATGTCGGCCGGCACTTCCATCCCTGTCTTCCAGTCTAGAAAGTAACACGGGGAAAAACAAGGCGGTCAGTGAACTTGTCCCACAAGGCTAAAGAACCTGACCTTCAAAAGTCGGGGATCCAGGCGTCACAACTGCTGGGGAGGGGGGGGAGTACTGCCTGGCTCGCCAAAAGCCATCCATTCCTGTATTTTTTGCTAAGAATTCACGCATTTTTTCGTAATTTTGATGGAATACTTTGAAATTTTAAAAAAAAACCTGGAAGGATCACTGCCTCTGCAGGATCATTATCCCAACTTCACTTATCTGCTGTCTGAAAACATTAAAAATATTAGAATAATAATAATGAAACTAGAAATACGTATACCTTTTTCACCATGTAGTTGCCAGAACTGGCCACTAGAGAGAGCCAGATACCATGCAATGTATGCTTGTTGCTGAAGAATAGATATAGCATGGTCTCTGCTGCCCTCTAGTGACCAATTCTGGCAATCCTTTCCCCCGGATTTTATTCCATGAACCATGTTACAGCTAGCGTTTGTTATTATCCACGGTTTTTAAGCATTGGAATTTCCACCATGTCTTGCCAAGACCGGCCATTCGAAGGAGCCACTTGGTGGTCCCAACAGCAGAAGGTGCCCCCAAATGGCAGAATTATCGATCCTGATGCACAGGGACCGACATATACAGGTATTCCCCTGCGGCTAACCGTACCATAAAAGACTGACGGGGGATCGTAGAAAAATGGGTAGTCGCAGAAGAAAAGCAAATACGTGTCGTATGTCCAGGCGATGGTGTAGAAGGCCAGTTTCCAGGCGCTCTCTGGCATCTTCGCTGCATCTTGAGGGGGCAGCTGGCACCATTCGGCAAAGGGCTGGGGGAGAAACAAGGGCTTTAAAAGACAGTCCAGACCCCCCTCGCCCTGTAAACATTTATTTCTCACTCTCTTTTCATTATTCACAAAATTTGCTCTTGCACACGGATAGTGTTACTCTGGTTACGTAGGACCCCCCCAGGATCGGTATCCGCTGAATCGCTTATCCACAGTCTGAAAATAATTAAAAATATTCCAAAAAAAGTCCTAGAAATATGTATTTCTCAAGATGCCCTTAACTAGAAATGATTATCCATTCGTTAAGTATTTGACTAATTCTCTGTTTTTAGCTTTTCATATTGGGCTTTCGTAACGGTCTAACGTTCTTTATTGAAATGTCACTCATTTGCTAATTATTTCAATAAATTCGCTGCTCTTAGCTTCAATATTGGGCTTTAGGAATGCAAAAGCCGACTCTTGCAAACGGCAGAAGGGAAAGACGTTTTCCCAAGGACAGATGGGAAACGGGAGGCGCTCATTAAAAACCCAGAAGGCACCACTCAGCAAGACTCCTGCCAGTTTCAGCCCCTCAGGAGGCTATATTAAGGCCCCAGCTGCTCTGGATTCGGTTCACGGCGGGGTCTGGATCAACTCCCAAGCTCATCTCACTTACTGAGAAATCCCCTGGTTGTGCTGGGTCCAGATACTGGCACACTCCCCCCCCCCAAACAAGAGCTGTGTTTGGGTCCCATAAATAACCCCCCCCGAATCAGACAATCACCGAACGACCACTGAGGAGCCCTATCGCAATTTTATGATCTCAAAACATTAACGACCCAGGTTCTTTTTCCTTCCGCTTCTCTGTTCCTGGTTTTCCTTCTTCCGTGCCTGTCTGCCAACTGCAATCCTGGGCGGACTGGCGGAAATGGCTGCTTTTTAAAAAAGCAAAAATGAGTATGTAAGAAAGAAAAGCAGGCCAAAGCAAGGGGGTATGACAGCCCAGTCTGTAGGAAATGAGCCATTTTTATTGATTTTTCTTCCTTCCTTCCAGGGCAGATTATTCCCTCACACGGGGAAGAAAATTGGATTAAAATCTATGAAACTCTACTTTCACAATTAAGGCCAGATGGCTTTGTTTCCCCATTATTACTGTCCTCGTATGTGACTCCGGGCGGCCTCCATTTCAAGGTAAGCAAGATGCTTGCTATTATCCATAGTTTTGCATATCCACAGGGAACCAATCCCCAGTGGATACATGAGCCCCACTCTATTTAGGAGATTTTTCTTTTCATATTTTCAGACCGTGCTGAGATTTACAACACTTACGACAGGCGTAAGTTAGATAGGACTGAGGCCAACATTTCAGGAAAACCTTAAGGGGGGGAATTTTTCATATGTGTACCCCTTTCTCTCACAGCCTTTCCCCCACGACATGCGTCTCTCCATGCTTACCAATGATTTCTACTGTTTTTATGCAGATTTATTTCTGTATATTTTAAAATGTGCAGCCCTGCCATTATTCATAGTTACTTATGGGTCTACCCCCCTATATTCCGAAGAGGGGCTCGTGTGGCTCTCCTCCTCACCACATTTCACTCTCATGACCACATGACGCAGGTGGGCTGTGAGACGGACTTGTTCAAAGCAATCCCTTCGTGGTTGTGTCAGGACTCGAACCTGGATCTCTCAGATCCCAGTCGAGAGCGCTAACCACTGCACCACAATGTGAATGGGGGGAATCCTAATTTTTTGAGGTGTAAGCCCCCCTAAACCCAGTGTGATTGACTTTGGAGGCAACCCCATTAAAGATCTGCCCGATAATAAACACCATAGCTTTAAGCTTGCCTGCTTTATGAAACGCCACTGAGTTTAAACGGATATAAAACTGCTTACGGATTAATCCACGATGCTTTTTCTTCTCTAAATCAATTGAGAGGCCTGCTAAATCTTTTTTGTTCTTAAATGCTGCCTAAGATGGAAAAAAAAACCCAGAGAGCTGGTTGCACGGTCAACCAAATATTGTACAGCATCAGAAGAACGAAAAACTAAGGCCACTGAAGTGTGGGAGGAAATTAAATTATTGGCTGTGGTGTTCCCCCCCCCCCACTTTCTTGCCACTAAAAAGGAAAAGAAAAAAGAAAAAAAATCCACTGGGGAACCTTCCAAGTTGGGAAGAACTATGAGTATTAGGTCTCGAATCATTTTGTTTTGCTTAGGAAGAAATAAATAAAAGGGGGACATAAAAGCAAACAGGGATTCTGGGCATCCTTTTGACATTTTTTAAAAAGATGAGCAACTCTTGGAAATGCTTGCTTCCCGAGGCCCATCGCTTCTCCGTGGCCGAACCAGGGGATTCTGGGACTCGTAATCCGAAACAGTCCCATTTCTACAGTTAAAAGATAGGGATCACCAGCAGAAAAAACTCTGCAGCTATGTTGCAAAAATGAAGCCCCTGGCCAAGATGCATTCCAGCATGCGTTGCCCTGGCAACCGAGGCTCCTGGGCTGTTCCCATGGCAACAGATGCTGGGTACCACCACTGTCTGCTGGCATCCGGTTTCAGACAAGGCACGCTCTCTCCCCCCTTAAAAGGGAAGCGGGTAGTTTCAGGGGAAGTGAGGAGAAAGGTCTGCAATGCAGAAAGGGGGTCCTATTATTTTGGTGGAGGGAGCCACCCGCCTCAGGTAGCCTAGATAAGGAGGCGACAGCAAGACATCAGAGGAAAGAGGGCACCTCTCTGGTTTCTCCTCTGCCTCCAGGTGCAGGGGACCATGCTGCCCCATCAGCAGTGGTGGAAATAAGACTCAGCATCCGGTTGTAGCACCCCCATATCCACGGAGGCTCGGATCTAACGCCCCCCGTGGATGCTGAAAAAAGTGGATGATAGCAAACACTATTTTAATAGCAAATGCAACACACCGCAGTCTCTGGATCCCTCTAGTGGCCGGTTCTGGTCACTTCCAACTTTAGAAATATCTATTTCTAGGACTTTCCATGTTTTAATAGTGTGGATAAGTGGATCAGCAGATAGTTTTTAACACTGCTGCAAGCTTATTTATTATTTCAAATCCTTGTGTTTCTGAGTTTTTCCCCCTGCTCATTCTCATACAAAGAGAACCTCAGCAACTTTGTTGCAAAACCAAAATTGTAAAGAAACAAGCCATTTGATGTTATATTTTTTCAGAATATTTGCATTAAATTTCTGGCAATATACTATACCCACATACTGTACAGCGTTCGCTAGAGAAACAGATTTCCTCTGTGTCCACTCCAGAACTGGCCAGGAGAGGGATCCATGCTATGGAGAGTGCTATTAAGACAGCATTTGCTTTCATCCGCGTGTTTCAGCATCCACTGAAAGGCCCTGGCCATAAATGTTTATTCTGCTCTATTTCACAGTTGAAAAGGCTACGCCGAAACGTGTTGAGGTTTTTGATTTAAAATGCTACTTAAAAAAAAACATCCTGGGACTTCTCGTCCCTGCTTGCCGAATAACTTCGGTGGATCCACCCATCATGTTTTGTAATGAGTGCAAATTCACCGCCGAATGATTTCACTGCCAGCAGCTGCTGCCTTGCTCTGCCTAAAGGCAAGGGAGATGATGAGCCAAGCAGAGGAAGGTGTAAAATGCAACCCTGGTTCACTTTACATCCTCTCGCTCTTATCACCCTCGACCTGCGAACCTTCCAGCCGGGGAGCGATCAGATGGTTTTTTCCACCCGGTCTCTCCTGGCACGGGGATCAGAGTTCACCTGGCGCTCCCACTAGCTCCATTTCCGTTACACGCTCGCAGCCATGGGTGCGAAAGGCACCCAAGCGGACTGGGCGGAAAAATTGGACTCGACGCTTTCTGCGCGAAACATCCCCGAAAGCCGGGAGATTGAATTTTGCATCGCCACAAAGGCAAGGAGGTATCAGCGTGAAAGTCTTGACCCGTGTTTCAAAAACCCAAACAGATGGCATGAGAAAGACTAGAGTACATGTCCTTCCCCCCCCACCCGCTGCAGGTGGCAACCTGAATCTCAGATAGACTGCTCCTAGCTATGGCAGCTGCACTTTGACATCATATTAAAATTCTCTGCACATAGAGATCATTAAATCAAATCCCATCAGTCTGTTTGCCCACAAGATGTTTATTTATAAATATTTTTTTAAAAAAACTTAAATAACCCACTAGTTAACTCTGAGAAGGCCAAGGGAAGACATGATGGCCACAGCATCTCAGAAAGATAGACTCTCTCCATTCCTGGAAGCTCCATTACTTAGGAATTTATATTTCCTCACATGGTGCCCTCCAGGTGTTTTAGATAAGTCTGGAACATCTGGAAAGCACTAGGATGAAAACCTTCACCAGAAGCATCTTGCAATATTGGAATAAAGATGTTATTCAAATAAAAGCATAGTGAACAGATCAGTTATCAGCTACTCAGTATGACTGCAAAGGGGGAATATATAAAGGAGTTTCCCCCCATCTACACAAGCCCATGTTATGATCCTTGGATAAGAGTTTTCACCTTTGAGAAGAAAAAAAATTCAATACGATCCTCTTATCCGCCGGATCAGTATACACAGATTCATTAATCCACAGTCTGAAAATATTAAAAAGAAAAGCCCCAGAAACATATACAGTATTTCTAAAGAGGAGGTTACCAGAACTGGCCACTAGAGAGAGCTAGAGACCATGATATGGGATAGCATTCACTCTTAAAAGCATTTGCTATTATCTGCGCATGATATGGGATAGCATACACTCTTAAAAGCATTTGCTATTATCTGCGCTTTTCAGCATCTGCGCGTGGGGGGTTTCGAACTGATTCTCCATGGATACAGGGTCCTGTTGCATATGACGAAAGCAGGATGGCGTAGGCCCTTTTCTGGCGGCCCTCGAAATTTTGGAACAAGCATCCCATATACTGTAGTTCCTTTTTGATGCTCGCTCTGCCAGGTTTTTAAGCCAAGTTACTTTTTTTTATTTGCCTAGGCTGTTTTTTGTACTCGGTCATGTACGTTATCCTGACTGTTTGGCATATGGTCCCCGGGGTCGCCCTTTGGGGTCCTGCACACCCAGATTCAAGCTTTCCAGTTTGGGCCCCGGGCACACTGGAAGTTCTCCATCATTGTGGCGAGATGAACCTCCCCAGAGGTACCCACGCTGCAAGAATCATCCATTATTTATTCTTGCAGAAAGCCAGCAAAAAAAAAGATATAAAGCCATGAAAGCAGCTGTTATACAAGGTGGGGAATGGACCGAGGAGGGCGGCCTTTTGCAAGCCATTCTATTCTGGCCAGGCCAGCGGAGCGGAAATCAAAAGCGAGGCTCTCCGGGCGGTTGCTGAGACAGGAGAATTACGAAGAAGAAGAAGAAGGATTCTTTTTTAAAAATATTACAAATAAGGAGGTCTTGAAACTTAAAAGTCGCAAGTTCTGTCCATAACATGTGGGAGTCCCCAGAATTTAACCCAAATGTCTTAGTAAACAATCAGCAGGCAGGAAAGAAAAGGGGATGGAAAAAACTCCCCTATTATTTTGTGTTTTACTTATAGGTATTGTTTTCTTTTTATAAACTATCCAGTGCAGCCCACGCAGACTACCAGAATGGTATATAAATTTAAATATAAATAATTATAATGTATTCTGTTCTACTAAGCTTATTTATTCTTTTAATTTGATTTATTTTTATTTTAGGGGTTTCTAAACCTGCCCAAGGATGTTTCACTCTGAATATTCTCTGCACACGGACATTGGTTTTTCTCAGCTTCTACAACTGCAGCTCATAGTTAAAAGAACTTTTAAGGCTCTGACTAACGACAAACGAACAAAATAAAATTGGCGCCATAGAAATTTGTGGGAGAGTTTTTCTCTCTTTCTCTAGCTAATGAAACAGCTGATGGGTGCTAGAAAAAGGTTTGCAGCAAAATCTTCCAGTTCTGGTGCAGCGGCTAGAGCTGACGTTAAAATACAGTACCACAATTAGATTTTAAAGTGTTACAACGTTTTTCTTTCTTTCTTGTGTTTTTGGTCGACCTGCAACCTAAGAGACTCATGGCTGAGATATTAATTTATTTAATTTAATTGATACATCGCCCACCAGGCAACAAGACCACTCCAGGCAGCTGGCAACAAAATAAAACTCTAAGCAACATTTATCCACATTGAACACGGCCTTCAAAATCATTTATAAAGCAATAGACGCAAACTGACCGGTATAACTTTAAAAATATAGATCACACACACAAAAAACCTTCATTGAATAGAGATTGTTATTCAAACTGCCTCAAACAAAGTGGACTAGACTAGATTACATGCTTGTCTCTACCAGGGTCCTCCCTTGGCCGCCAGAGATTTCAATGCCCACAGGGTTTTGCTTGGATAAATCCGCATTTCCCCCCTTGCACAATGGAAAGCAACTGGCCAGCAGGATCCGTACCACAGGAAGGCCAAACGGGGTGCTCCTTTCAACACCCCCGTTTCCCCCCAAATGGCTACGAGGCCAAAATCTGGCAAAACAATGGACTCAAAAGGCCAATAACCAAAAGGGAGACGCAATCACGCCATGGCCCAGAAACAGCTCAGGGGTTTTGGCTCACGCCTGCCTCATCCCCTCCCAAAACGAGGGCAGGCCTCGTCTTAAACCCCCAAAGCCCATGTCATCTGTCCCCCAAAATCCGAACCCACCTTTGTTTCCCCGTTTTGCAGCATTGCAAGACCCCCCAAAACTGAAATTTCCGCGGCTCACCCCAAACCCCTCCAGAAGGCAATGATTTGCAAGGGATGCCCAGGCCTGTTCCCCCCCCGTCCCCCAAATATCTAGGGAATGCTAACCGATGGGAGGCCGCCCCCCAATAAAATTGGGGTCGTTTTCCGGCTTCCCAAAAGCCCTCTCTTATTCCCTCCCCCTATATGGGCTCCTGGTGGCTCTCCCACGCTCCATGCCGGGCAACCCCAGGTTTGCTCAGGAGGTGGTAGGTCTCGGACCCCGGTATCCGCGGGGGATGCCGGCAAACGCTGGTTACGGCGCACAGAGCATCCCCGCCCCGGCCGTGTCTCCGACCTCCAAATGCTCCTCGCGATCTCGCCCCCCCCAACCCCACCTGGACACCCCGACGCCATTCACTCATTCATTCA